CCCTCCTTGTCCTGGATCTTGGCCTTGACGTTGTCGATCGTGTCCGAGGACTCGACTTCCAAGGTGATGGTCTTGCCGGTCAAGGTCTTGACGAAGATCTGCATACCACCGCGGAGACGCAGAACGAGGTGGAGGGTGGACTCCTTCTGGATATTGTAGTCAGACAGGGTGCGGCCATCCTCGAGCTGCTTTCCTGCGAAAATGAGGCGCTGCTGGTCAGGGGGGATGCCTTCCTTATCCTGAATCTTGGCCTTGACGTTGTCGATAGTGTCCGACGACTCCACCTCGAGGGTGATGGTCTTGCCGGTCAGAGTCTTGACAAAGATCTGCATGGCCTGGAGTAGAGGGTAAAGTGCCGAAGAACGAAGGTCAGTATGCAGCGCGGAGAGGCGAGAAAGACGAGGAAGCAGGCGCTCATTGGTCAGGGGTGCGCGTCGCCTACAGACCCTGCAGGCGACGTGCATGAACGTCGCAGTGGCGGATGGATGGGGATGCTCCACTTACTGGTTACGATCTGCAGTGCAAATTACCGATGCAAACAGGTGGATGACGATGGCGGAGGTGGTGGTGAGAATGAAAGATGCGAGGATACCAGGCTGAGGCGAAAGTATCGGGTGATGTGCGTGTGGAAAGGGGCGGATGGTTGTGACTGAGCCTCGAGTGATTATATACTGCGGATGTGGTGCGGTGCGGGTGGAGACTGGCTGAGTGCGGCTGCGCACGGCTCTCTCAAAGGGACGGGGAGAAAGGGAGAGAGAGGAAGCGCGTGTGTGGAGAGTGGCAGCGGCTTTGCTGAGCTAGGCGCCACTCGACCGCCGACACTGGTGCAGTGCCTCGCTTCGGGCGTAAGGGTGCAGGGCAGGGCAGGGCAGGGCGTGGCGTGGCGTGGCTGGGCGAGGTGAGGCGGAGGGCATTAGGGCAGTGTGTGTGCGCTGCGCAGCGTGGCTGAGTTGCGTTATCGCAGGCGGTGCAGCGTGATCTGTGCAGAACGCGAGGGCAGCAGCAGCTGGCGGCGCGGCTCGTCTGTAATCGGCCGATTCAAAGTCGGAAATCGCCAAAAAAAATCGCGTGCCCATCGATGCGGCCGTTTCGATTTCCAAATGCAGAGAGAGGGGCTGTGACGGCGCGGTTTACAGTGTTGTAAGCCAGCGTCGAGTTTCGAATTCGATCCAACGTGCGCCAGCCAGAGGGGCACCGTGCATCGAATCGGGCTCTGGACAATGGGCCCAAGCCTGATCTGGACTCCTTCCGCTCCCCAAGGGCCGGCCGCGCCTCGGTCAACTGTCGACCGCAGCGCAATGATGGCATGTCGTGCCGAACAGAGTTGCCCTGCCGCCCACGTTTTTCTTCTTCCGCTGCTGCTTGTCGATCTATGCTGTCAGAAGTAGTGACGAGCCGAACGCGCCTCCGAGTCGAGCCGAAAGACCGGGCCGAAAGTGTCCGCCATGCCCGCCACGCCGTGCAGAATATCGATCGGGGCCGCTCGCAATGGAGCAAAAAGTGGAGGCATCGATTGGAGAAATTCGCGGCTTCTTGCATACCCGCTCAGACCCTCAACGTGCTCCGAGCTGAGTTTTGTCGCTCAGTTCTTCCATCATCACGCCAACCATCAAATCGATATTCCACCCTTGCTGGCTAATCCCCGGCTGCCAAACGTTTCCGAATCCTTGTAGATGACTACCAGCCGCCCAAGGCTGTGACCAACATCAGAGGCAAGCTTCCGCTCGGCCCGTCGCCTCGAGCCCGAATGGCCGCGAGCAGTCACGCCCGGCAATCTGGCATCCATCGCTGTGCATCTGATCGCTGACTAGTTCCATCTCTTCGTTCCTGCTGCTCGCTTGCATCTTCACTCGCGCCATGTCTCATCCACGACAGGCTGCTGCATCGGGTGCATCACGCCATGTCACTTCTTCCTCGAGCAGGAGCACTCGACGCTCACTCAGCCCTTCACGTGCGTCTTCAAATACAGAGCCACCGAACAAGCGGCTGAGGAAGGAGGATACACCGCCCAATGACGCAGATCCCAGCCTCGACCGTCTGCTAGATGCGTTCGATTCCGGTATCGATGAGGAGCAGCAAAGACGCCGCGTGCTCGAAGAGAGCCGGAAGCGCAGGCAGGCCATCCTCGACAAGCATCGCGGCTCCCAGAGCGTCCAGGCCTCGGAAGGCACTCCCGCTCCCAGCACTGCTGCGTCCGCTCCACAGAGCGAGGTGAAAGAGGCCCAGCCTCCATCTCAGCAGCCTTTCTCGCTGGTCAAGACCGCCACCAACACTACCGATGTTGCAGCTGACGGCAGTGCGAACGCCCAGGATGCATCCGCAGCTGAACTCGATCCGGACGCCGATCGTGCGCAAGAGCTCAAGCGCCTCGAGCAACGGCGCAGAGTCGCTCCAACAGTTCCGCACCCATCAAAGAGCAGCGAACAGCAGGAGTTCCAGGAGATCGAAGTGACCGACGATGAAGACGACGACGACATGGACATGTTTGCGCTCTCGGACGATGACGATGCTCCCAAGCCGGATGCTAAGCCCAGAAAGACCAAAATCATCCGTGTACGATTGCGCGGCGCCTCGGCTTCCTCCACATCGGCGGTCAAGGCTTCGGCCGCACCCATCTCGGACCCGGCTGCGGCGAGCACGGCGAACCTGTCGAGCAACTGGGACGACAATGACGGCTACCTGCGCACCATTCTTGGCGAGACGCTTGACGAGCGCTACCAGATCTCGGCGGTGCTGGGCAAAGGCATGTTTGCGTCGGTGGTGCGTGCGCGCGATCTGCGATCCGACGGCCGCCAAGTCGCGATCAAGATCGTGCGTGTCCAAGAGAGCATGTACCGAGCGGGGCTCAAAGAGGTCGCCATGCTGCGCAAGCTCAACGCGGCGGATCCGGACGACCGCAAGCACGTGGTGCGACTGGAGCGCCATTTCGAGTACAAGGGTCATCTGTGCATGGTTTTCGAGTCGCTCAGCATGAACCTGCGCGACGTCGTGCGCAGGTACGGCCGCGATGTGGGGCTCAACCTGCAGGCGGTGCGCGTGTATGCGCACCAGCTGCTGCTCGCGCTGTCGCACCTGGCCAAGAACGAGGTGATGCATGCGGACATCAAGCCGGACAACGTGCTGGTCAACGATGCCAAGACCACGCTCAAGCTGTGCGACCTCGGCTCGGCGTCGTATGTGAGCGAGATGGAGATCACTCCCTACCTCGTGTCGCGCTTCTACCGTGCGCCCGAGATCATCCTGGGCCAGCTGTACGACTGTGCGATCGACGTGTGGTCGACGGGGTGTACGATCTACGAGCTTGCCACGGGCAAGATCCTTTTTCCGGGCAGGACGAACAATCACATGCTGCTGTTGATGCAGGAGGCGCGCGGCAGGTTCACGGCCAAGCAGCTGCGCAAGAGCCAGTTTGGCGAGCAGCACTTTGACGACACCAACGCCTTTCTTGGTGTGGAGGCGGACAAGAGCACCGGGCAGGAGGTGGTGCGCAGGGTGATGATCGGCAGGCCGAGTGCGGATGTGCGCTCGCGTCTGCTGCCCGCCGATGCGGCCAAGAGGCTCAAGCCCGACGAGGTCAAGGCGACCAATGCGCTCATCGACCTGCTCGAGCGCTGTCTCGAGCTCGATCCGGCCAAGCGCATCAGCGCCAAAGAGGCACTGGGCCATGCGTTCTTTGCCAACATCTGACGGCGGACAATCGACAAGGTTGACAAGATGCAGTTGCATTTGAGAGAGAGTGTGTGTGTTGAGGAGGTGGACCCTGAAATGAGGCGACCCAACGGCGAACGGCGCGCGGAATTTAGGAGCCGGGGATGCAACGCGCAGCCATCAAGCTCCGCCTCTGCTGGGTGTGGGCAGGTAGGAAGCGGACGACCATCACGGCTTCGTCATGAGTGCGCCTGGCGGGAGCTGGGATGCACAGCTGTCGGCAGCGTACGAGCATGCGCAGCGGGCGACCAAGGCGGAGCTTGCACGCGACTACTCGTCTGCGTTTGAGCTGTACGTGCGCTCGGGCCAGCTCTTCCTGCACCTGCTCTCCACGCACCCCAGCCGCGCACCGGATGGCACACGCGATCGACTCAAGCAGATGGCCAACAAGGTGACGGCGCGCGCAGAAAGGATCAAGACCACCCACAACGTGCGTCGCGTCGAGCGCCATGTGCTGAGCACCGACCAGCAGGCATCCATCCTAGCCGCCTCGTCCAAGATCAACGCCAGACACTTTCCCGCATGGTCCGAACAGACTTTGTCGTGCCAGCCCGCACCGGAGCTATCGCCGGTTCAGATCGGGAACAAGGCGCAGTACAAACGTTCCAGTCAGATCGTCGGTGCAGATGCAGGATGGGGTCGAAGGCTGCGAGGCGACGAGATCGTGCAGGACATTGTAACCGACTGCTCGTTCGTAGCTGCGCTCGAAGCGGCTGCGGAACACGACTTTCTCTTCGGCACCTCTCTCGCCACCTCGTCGCTCTACCCACAAGATCCCTCCGGCCTGCCCTCACCTAGCCCATCCGGTCGATACCGCGTGAGGCTCCACATCAACGGCGCGGCACGCTGCGTGGAGATCGACGATCATCTTCCCTACTACCCGCCCGAGTGCGGCGAGCGTATCATGGGTGCATCGTGTCGCAAAGGCCACACGGTCTGGCCAGCGCTGCTCGAAAAGGCATACCTCACGCTCATGGGCGGCTACGACTTCGGCGGGTCCAATGCGAGCATCGACGCACATGCGCTCACCGCGTGGCTGCCCGAACATGTCTTTCTGCGCCACGCCGGATTCCAGCGCGAAAAGTCCTGGTCCCGCTTTCATGCCGCCTGGACCCAGGGCAAGTGCTTCGCCACGGTGGGCACGCCGAGCAAGACCCAAGCTGGGCTCGTCCCGAGTCACAATTATGCGATCCTCGGCGTGCAGGGAAGCGGAAGCCAGAGGCACGTCACACTCATGAATCCCTGGAGACACGCGGAGGGCAAGCATCCCAGCATCGCCCTCGACACCAAGGAGCGCGATGTGGTGCAGAGCTTGCAGCGGCTCAAGGTGGCGGATGGCGCTACGTTCACAGTCACCTGGGACGATCTCTGCACGTATTTCGACTCGCTCTTTCTCAATTGGGATCCGAGCATGTTTGCGCACACGCTCAGCGTTCATTCGTGCTGGAGAGCTCCCACGCCGCAGAGTGGGATCAAGGTCGACCAGGCCGATCCGAGGTTTCGGCTGGTGATGTCGCCAACCGCCGCCGCTGGTGGTGAAGGGGAGGAGGTGTGGATGCTGCTTACGCGGCACATTACCAGCACGCGCGATCGACCCGACGCCGAATGTTCAGGGCAGGACGCAGAGTACATTGCAGTGCACGTGTTTGAGGACGACACCTCGCGCGGTTCGGGGCAGTCTTCGCAGCCGCTGGGGCAAGCGCGTCAAGTTGGTGCCTACGTCGACGGTACGCACTGTCTGGTGCGCTTCAAGCCCTCGTCCTCTCGCAACGCGGATGTGGCCGAGCGCAGTTTCACCGTGGTGGCGTCTCGGCGTACGTCGCAGGCGGTCGAGACGCGCTATACGCTTTCGGTGTACTCGCACCACGCCGTGTCGCTCTCGCAGGTGCGCACGCATCTGGCGTTCCGCGAAAGCCTCTCGGGCGCATGGACGAGTCGCACAGCGGGTGGCAATGCGACTCTACCGACGTTCATGTCGAATCCTCAATACACACTCACCATCCCCGGCGCAGACGAGGTGCAGGTCAACTTGACGCTCGAATGTTCGGATCGTCGCGTGCCGGTACAGTTGCTGCTGGCGTATCCAGGACCCGCGAGCGGGGGTCGCGTAACGAGTCTCACCCAAGGCGATGTGGTGCTCTCGAGCGGCATGTATCATCACGGCCTTGCACTGTGCAATACCTCCAATTCAGGTCGAAACGGTCTGCGTCCAGGAACGTACACGCTCATCGCATCCACATTCGAGGCAGCCACAACAGCCGACTTTATCCTCAGCATCGAATCGACCCATCCAGTGCAGCTCAAGGCGATCCCACAAGAGGGCGCAGGAATGTTCCACAGACGCATCACTGCAAGCTGGACGCAAAGCAACGCCAAAGGCTCGCGCGGCAACAGGGCGTACTTTGACAATCCAAGCTGGCGCATTGTTGTTCCTCCCCCGGCAATGGCCGCGCTCGTGGCGAGGATCAAAGCCAACGCCACCGATGCTGTCCGACCGTACGTCAACATTGCACTGTACGACGAAAAGGAGGTGGCCAATAGCGGCGCATACACCGATCTACCCTGTGGCGCCGTGCTCGACACCATGCTCAAGCCAGGATCCTACACGCTCCTCGCCTCGACGTACAAGCCCGACGTCCACGCTGCCTTCTCCATCGACCTCTACACCACCGTCCGATGCGACGTCACCCCACACTAGCCGCATGCCCCAATCCCAAGTGAAATTGCTACAAAGATGGTGAATTCGTCCCATGGCCCCACTGCGTGCTGAGGGTGTAGTAGCCGGGCACGGCACTCGCGGCCCACTCGAGGTCCGGCAGCGCCAGCAGGTCGCGCAGGTACGTCTTGGTGCCGTCCGGTGTGGCCTGTTGGACCGCCTCGCCGTACGCGATCCAGTCCGCCTCCGGGCGGCGGTTGAAGAAGACCGAGTCCGGATGCGCCCACGCCTTGTGTCCCGCCGTGGTCGTGTATGTCATGCGCACCGGATCGTAGCGCGCCACGTTGGCGTACAGACCCGTCAGCATGCACCGCGTGATGCGCTCCACGGCATCCTCGCGCCCCCGCACCGAACACTTTGCATCGAGCCCGAACCGCACCATGAAGCGCTCGAGCTGCTGCCGGATCGACAGCGCGCGACTGAGCGCCGGGAAGTTGAGCCGGTGCCGCTGTGCCCACTTTGCACTCTTGCGCCCCACGCGCTCGTCGGTAAACGCGAGAAAGACGTTGAGCAGCGTAAATACATCGCCCTGCTGGGCGGCAAACGCACGCTGGCTCAACTGCGTCTGTGGCGTGTGCGGCGAGACAAAGAGCGTGCTCACCTGCATGGTCGCCAGGATGGCGAGCATCTCGTGCGCGCATGCGAACGCAGGCTCGGCCGACGCGACCAGGATGCGTGCCAGATGCGGCGGCAGGGGCAGCTCGGCCATCACCGCACCCCGCTCGGTCAGCCGCGCGTACTCGTCCAGCGCACCAAGCTGCACGAGCCTCTGCAGACCGGCTGCCAGCAGCGCAGGCGGCGGCGCGGGCGGCACCCACTCGAAGCGCGCGAGGTTGTCGATGCCCAGCGCCTTGAGCATGAGCACGGGTGCGGCCAGATCGACGCGCGTGAGCTCGGGCGGTGTCGAGGCGTGCATCTGCTCCAGAGACCGCTCCGTGTACAGCCGGAAGCACTTGCCCTCCCGAGTCCGCCCCGCACGACCCGCACGCTGCACCGCCGACGCACGAGAGATGGGCACCACGCCCAGCGTATCCCTGCCCGCACCCGTCGTGGCGCGCAGCTTGACGAGGCCGCATTCGACGACGTAGACGATGCCGTCGAGCGTGATGCTCGCCTCGGCGATGTTGGTTGCCACCACCACCTTGCGCAGTGCCGACGAGGGCGGCGCTGCAAAAACCGCCGTCTGCTCCGACGCGGACAATCCAGCATGCAGTGGCAGCAGATGCATGCGCGCTGCCGAGTCCGGCAGATCCAGCTGCCGATCCGCAAGCAATTGAAGTGCGGTGTCGATTTCGTCACGGCCGGTGAGGAAGGCAAGGATGTCGCCGCGCGGCTCGGCGAGGTGGATGTTCCAGATGGTATCGACGGTCTTCTGCAAGTAGTCCTCGCACGGATCGTCGAGATACGCCAGGTGCACAGGAAACGATCTTCCCTTGATCTGAACTACCGTCGCTCTGTCTTGTTCGTGCTTGTGATCGGCCTGCGAGACGATGCGGCTGTCCTCGAAAAAGTCTTTAAAAGTGAGCGCATCGATGGTGGCACTCGCCACGATGACTCGCAACTCGGGCCTTTTGCGGAGGATCTTGGAGAGTACGCCGAGCAGCAGGTCCGTGTGTACGCCGCGCTCGTGCGCCTCGTCGACCATGATCACGCTGTACCGCGTGAGCAGCGGATCCTTGATGCATTCGCGAAAGAGCGTGCCGTCGGTCATGTACTTGATGCGCGTGGCGGCTGACGAGTTGTCTTCGAAGCGGATTGTGTAGCCGACCTCGTGGCCTAGCCTGACGCCCATCTGCGCAGCAACGGTGGCGGCGATGGATACGGCGGCGAGGCGACGCGGCTGTGTGCATGCGATCATGTTGCCTGCCGAAGCCGGGGCGGCGGTGGTCCAGCCTGCGTCGTAAAGGAAGCGTGGGATCTGCGTGGTTTTGCCGGAGCCGGTCTCTCCGACGACGATGAGCACCTGATGCCGCTCGAGCGCATACAGGATCGAGTCTCGCTGCGCAGCGACGGGCAGAGACGAGGATGAGGAGGGCGCGGCCGATGTGAGGAGCGCTGGCTCGGCTTCCGAATCGCGGTCGAGCGAGCTGCCTGGCCGCGCCGAGCCAGGCTTCCAGAAGGTGGGAGGTGCCGTCATGGCTGCGAACAGCTGTGGATCCCGTCGTGCTGCTGATAGGAGCGAGCCATTGCTGCAAAGAAGAAGCGGATGGTGGAAGGCGAGGAGGAAGGAAGGCTGAGCCGAATGATGCGACCCCCCAAAAAGTGCCAAATTGGGCCTTTTTTGGGCAGACCAACACCTCCACACCCACGCCTTTCACAACGCACGTCACACAGCTCATCCCCACATCACCATCTCTCTCCTCCCTTCTGTCCCCATCATCACTCGGCTGGATCCTCGACACCACCTTCAGCATGGCTCCGGACGCAAAGTCGGCCTCCACCTCCTCCTCGGCCGCCGGTCTTGCCAAGTACATCTCGAAGCACCCATCGTTCCGCGACCCGAGATCGCATGCTTCGCCCCTGCCAGCCCTGTATGCCGATCTGTCACGGCAGCGCAAGAGCAATCCGGCCGGCTATCGCGCCAGCATCGAGTGGTGGAAGGACACACTGCTCGACGTCACGTGGCAGGGTGTGCAGCTCGACCGCGACCCACCGGCGCTTGATCCCTCTTCACTCGACTCTCTCAACGAGGATGTCCCCTCTGCCTCCTCTTCGGCGCCGCTGCCGGACCGCACGGTGTTCCGGCTGGACGAGAGCACCAAGGCGCGCTGGACGGTCGAAGGCGTTGGCCGTCCACTCGGTCTCGGCAGCGTGATCGCTGAGCTCGAACGGGCCCACACAGTGACTCCGCTGTCCAAGTTTCTGCACTGCAGCACGCCGCTGCATGGGCCCGCCAAACCGGCGTCAGGGCTGAGGGGCTACCTGCCGACGCCTGGAGGCGTGGCGTCGGCGCTGCTGGTGACGCCGGCGCGGTGGGCGGCATCGTCGGTGCTCGGCATGGTCACCGGCTCGGCGGCCGATGACGACTATAGCGAAGACGAGCGGCTGTTTCGGGACAAACGGGGCGACTGGGTCGTGTACGACCTCGTGCACCGCATCGCCTCTGCTTTTCTGCTACACCATTTCGAACACGATGCAACGCTCAGCCCCATCTCGGCGCTCATGACCGCCGCCGAGTTTCGGCAGCGCCTCGCGCGCGTCTGTGCGTCGCAGTTCGGCTTCCACCCGAGCGAGCGCGATGTCCAGCTGGTCCTCACGCATCTGTCTCGCGACTGCGGCGGCGTGCTCACCACCAGCGGCGGCATCATCAAGCTCGCCGGCAGTGAAGCCGAGGTGGCGGAGCGGATCAGCGAGGAGGACCGCGGGGTGGTGGCGGTGAAAGAGACGGTGCGCAAGGTCGAGCTGCAGATCACCTCGCTCGAGGCCCAGATGGGTCGGCGCACTGTGCAGGCCAAGGAGGCGCTGCGCAAGGGGAACAAGGCGCAGGCAGCATCGTACGTGCGCAGTCGGCGGGCGTTGGACGAGGTGTTGACCAAACGCATGGGTGCACGCGAGACCATGACGCGCGTGCTCATCGGCATCGAACAGGCCAAGAGCGACGTCGAAATCGTGCGCGCATACCAGACGAGCAATGAGGTGATGCACAACCTGCTTGCCAAACCCGAACTCAACATCGACTCGGTCGATCGCACCGTCGAGGCGCTCGAACAGTCGTTGGCCAGCCAGCGCGAGGTCGACGACGCCATTCGTGCCACCGCGGCTAGCGACGTGGATGAAGACGAGATCCAACAAGAGCTCCAACAGCTGCTCGACGAAAAGAGCGCCCAATCCAAAGCCGAAGCTCCGCCAAAGGAAGATGCCCAGGTCACACAAGAGCCGCAACTCGCTGCAAAGCCGCAGGATACAACAGACGACGACCTCATTGCGCGCTTCAACCAGCTCCGTCTCCCTCCCACCACCGACCCTGCGCAATCCACTCCGACAACACCTACTCAGGACCGCTCAGAACCCATCTCTCAATAAGAACCCGCGTCTCCCTACTCGCCCACGCCATACCCACCTCGAGCGAATGAAGCGAAACCACGTGCGTTGCAACGCGCTCTGTGCATGATGATACAAGTCGGCCTCGTTTCCACAAGGGAGTTCGAAACACAACGGTGCGTTGAAAGTGTGAATGTGTGGGAGAAATGCGTGAGATGACGACCGCTCCGACCTTGTCAGGAAACGAACGCCATCCCTTTTTTTTGTATTGGCTCGACAAGACGATCCTAGCAATGATGGAGCGGCATTAATCTTGAGCCGAACCGAGCGTGTGTGTGTGCATGATGAGGGTGTAGAGTCCGAACGGTCGAGTTTACTTCTCGCCGTTGGGGTTCATGCGGCGCTTGCCACCGGGGGTGGTGACGGCGTTCACGAATCTAAAAAAAAGGTTAAGATAGACAAGTGTCAGAAGCCAAGTTCGTTGGGAAGCAGGTTGAAAGCGAATCTAGCATGAGATGTCGGCAACATCGAGTCGGGCCTTGTTGCGTGGTGAGAACGCCGGATCGACAAGAACTCGAAGAGACCCGATTCGCCGCAAAGTTTTTGATCCCCGGCACATTCGCGTGGCAACCACCTTGCGCCAGAGCAGGTTGAGGCTAGCGATGGCAGATCCGCTCCTTGCCTCATGATGGAGCGATGGCGGTCGAGACTCGCATGCCCTCTGCCGTGACCTGATGCCAAGGTAATGAATGCAGTTTCCATGGTGTCCGGAAGACGTTGGTGATGTATCAATATAGTCGCTGAGGTCGGCGCGACCTCGCTGCTAGTGGTCGACTCGATGCTGCATGGATCTCATGCTTGACTTGAAGGAAACTTACCGTCGGGTGTACAAGAGACGCTTCTTGGCGCGGCCCTTGGGCTGCTTGGCCTTCTCTTGCTTCTCGACCTTGGGGGTCTGCGACTTGACCTTACCGGCACGCGCGAGGGATCCGTGAACCTTACCCATCTTGAATATGTGTTATCGAGGGCCTGCAAGTGGTCGCAAGTGTCGACGAGGATGTAGAAGGTGAAAAGACAAGGATCGAGTCAGATGGTGGTCGGTGAGGAAGCGAGACAGGACGCGCGGGCTTGGTCGCATCTAAATTGGCGCGCATCGGTCTGTCGGAACTGCACTAGTGGAAATCTGCGTCTGCGTCTGCGTTTCCATATTTGCCCTCGCTAATGGTGGCCACGAAATCTCGAGCTTGGCCTGCGGTGTGTGACGTTTCCACCCTGCGTCAAGGTTGTTTCTGTAGTTCTGCCCGCTGATGCAACGACGAAGGTCGGGCTGGCTCCATGACCTGAATGCCTATCCGAGCGCACCTCGACCTTCAAGTGCGGAAGATGTGAATGCTGGATGGCCAAGTGCGAAAGCAATGTCGGTCCGGAACGTTGAACGATGGCATGTTCGTGGCGGATCATCCGGATGCGTGATTGCGAGCGAGTGCTGGGTGGCGCAACACGGCAATTCTGAGCTGCTTTCAGGTGGTGCGAGTCGATGGGTGCTGACGGCGATGGCGTACCTCAGGGCGAGATGGCGAAATTGGCGCAGCGGCGACGAGCAGACCGATGCGAGTTGGATGCGACAAGAGCTGGTGTAGACGCTTACGTTTATGAGTACCTTGACGATATGGAGGGCAGAAGGAGGAGTGATGGCGGCGTGGCCTCCGACAGTGTCGAGCCGCGCGCCACTCGTCGAGCCTCACAACTCAGCCTCCGCTGCGTCGATTTCGCGAGGACTGCCAGCTGCTGCCGTCAATTTTGCACGCTAGCATCGCCGGTGGCCTCGAGACTGGCCTGCAGGCCCTCCTTGACTGGCTGACCAGCCGCTGAGCTTACAGACGGCTTGCGCGCGCAGCTGGGCGCGGCCTGGCCCCAGCCAGCGGGCACGAGTATTCGCATGGGAGCAGACGGCGATCCCGTGCACCGTGCTTGGAGAGTGGTGAGGCATCTGGAAATTCACCGGAAATTCAATTTTGGCAGAGGGGGATAGCAGGGCCCGTTCTGGCGCGACTCTGCTTCCAGGCAAGCAGTCGAAATTTCGAACGTGGGAACTTTTGTTTTTCGCTTGCACGTGACCCACCTTCTCCTCCGGCGAGCGCAAACTGTCGCAGCTCAACGCAGTCGCACTGCCGTCTGCTGTGCCCTGCGCCAATGAAGCGCGCCCGATCTGAGCGTCAGGCTCCAGCTGGGTGGAGCTGGCGCGCCAGATGTCGAAGACGAAGATCCCCTCAGCGTCCGGAGACGAGACGAGCGTATGGTGTTGGTCGTCGCTGCCAGCTTCTCTTCCTTCCCACCAGGATTCATCCCACATCAAGATTGTAAGTGTTCCAGCATGACAGCATGATCAGCAGACAGCAGTCAATCGCACCGAAACAACACACGGGAAAGATAGCAGAAACGCATTGGGACAGCACCAGCGACTTTTCATCGCGGCAGCAGTAATGGACAACATGGCTCGATGACAAGGGCGTGCCAGCATTGGAGGACGCAGCCGCGGCAGGAAGCAATCGGTCGCGCCTGGAATATGCAGGCTCGGAGGAGGATGGTGCCGCGGGATCTCAGTGTACCGAAAACACAGCCATAAGAGTACGACTTGCAACGGCCAGCGTTTGGAATACGATTGGAAGAAGTGGATAGCTCCGTTGCAGCCGAGGCTGCGCCTATTCGCACCACATCAACTCGACACTGTCTGCTGCTCTATCTGTCGTCGTCCCGTCATCTCGCACCACCAACACGTTCGCTGACCCCGGCTCCCACTATCTCTCCCTCCACCTCGCAGTGACTCTGCCAAAATGATCATCAGCAAGGAGAACCGCAAGACCATCTACGCCTCGCTCTTCAAGGAGGGTGTCATGGTGGCCCCCAAGAACTTCACCGTTCAGCACCCCGAGCTCGAGATCCCCAACCTCGAGGTGGTCAAGGCGCTGCAGTCGCTCACCTCGCGCGGCTACGTGCACACGCAGTTCTCGTGGCAGTGGTACTTCTACACCCTCACCGACGAGGGTGTCGAGTACCTGCGCGAGTTCCTCCACCTCCCCGCCGAGATCGTACCCGCCACGCACAAGCGCCCCGCCCGCCCTGCGCGCGCCCCTGTCGGTGGCCGTGACGGTGCCTACCGCGCCCCCCGCGGCGACCGTGACGGTGGCGACCGCGAGTACCGCCGCCGCGACGGCGCTGCCGCTGGCGACAAGAAGGACGGCGCCCCTTCGGGCGAGTACCGCCCCCGCTTCGCCGGTGTCGGCCGTGGCGCTCCCCGCCAGTAATCTCGTCGCAACCATCTAGCCTCAAGCCTTCCGACTTGTCATCCATGGCATCAGGAAGGATCTTGACTCGATAGCGACCACCGCCCCCCTAAAAAAAAGGAGACTCTTCATCTCCATCCTTTCAATCCCTCTCCGGATGCGGCAGGGCACGTTTGGATAGGCTTTCGTACCGCGAAGCCGGCACAACTTCAAGGCTTTCACCTGTTCTTTCTCCTCGACTGTTTCTTAACACGTGCATAGCCCTGAAAGCTTGTTTTCAAATCCAACGTCGGGCTGGCGCCCTTAGTCCGCCATGCATCTCTTTTTTTGTTTTTTAGTGGATGTATTCGCATTGTGCTGCAACAACCAAACCCCAGTCGTGCTTTTCGCTACTGTGTCTCAAGGTTTGGCATTGCGCGGCTTGCGTTCTGAGGTGGCTTTGGTCTTTTGGTTGGGGTCGGCAGTGGCTAGATGGGAAGCTTGGCGCTTGGCGCTGGACGAGTCCATGTCGGCGCCGGTCTCCGACTGAATTTGGTCGGCAGCCGTGTCGGGGCGCGATGTGGTAGAGTCGTATGCGCTGCTGCTGTGTGCGATCTCCTCGGTCTGCATCGCCGCCAAAAGCGTCAGTAGATGGATGTGCGGCAGTGGGAAGAGGGGGTCGCTTACAGAGGCTGATCCGGGAGTGGTGGCTTCGCTTTCCGAGCCTGGCTTGACGGCGGAATAGGCGGTCTGGGATGTGCGGAGACGCACCACTGCACTGGTGTGCATGCGTGCCCCACGAGCGATCGATACAAAGACTGAAGACATGGTGGATACGATACTGTTACGACTCGATCGACGTAGCAACACGCTTTGACTTTATATACCGACGCCAACTACTGCATTCGCGACTCAGCCCCGCTTCGATACTGGACCCTTGGACGCGGCAGCGCTGGTCGGCAGGCAGTCAGAGGGCCGTGCTGATTCACAGATGCCACAAAGCGTGCAGCCATCGTCGGGCAGCTCCGCAACTGGACAGCTGCGAGCGGGTGAGGAGCCAGTGACGTGGTGCTCACTCACCGTGCCGCCAAGTGCACTAATGTGTGATCGGCATATCGAACAATATGCGAAATCTCCCGATTCGAGTGGTTGAGCCGGATCGCGTTGGCGTGAGCCGATGTAGCCAACTGCGTGCCGTTCAGGGCCTTAGCATCGCCCTCGCCACGTCTCCACCGCCACCACCACCTGTCTCCATCTTGACGCTCGCACGCATCCATCCTCACCTCCTCCACAGCCCTCTCCGGACGCTCTCTCCACACCGCGGTCACATCCTCACCTCCGGCGCAGAGCTTTTGGAACCGTGAAACCAGCATGACCACAACACGCTCGCTAGTGCTCCTCGTCGTGAGCCTTGTCCTGCTATGTCTCTCCACGGCACAAGCAGGCCCGGGCGTCGACCCCGCATCGATAGCGCATCTTCCGTACCAGTACTTCCACGAGGACGGCGTGGGCGGTACCAACGCTGCATGCTGGCTATCGCGTCAACCCTTCCCGCCCACCGAAGGCGTCCACTGTCGCTTCGCAGACACCATCTCCCAAGTCAAGGGCCGCCAAATCCACCAGTGCTCCGGTGAACAACATCTCTTCTGCAACGCTTGCCACGACCTCGAAACCAAACTCACAGATCCAAAAGAACAGGTCGCCTGGAAGGTTCAAGGCTGCTAACACCTCTCATCTCATCCACACAAAGGCTACAAAGTTCGGCCCAAAGTATATCCGCATACCAATTGCACTTCTTTCGCATTTCCGTCTATCTGAAAAAGTGCTTGTGCACCTCTGTCTATCCCTCGAACTTGCAAGGAAAAGGAGGCAAGAACGGAGCGAGGCAAGGTCTACACATGCTTGTCCTTGGTGGCGGGCTTTTGTTGGTTGAGGAAAAAGTGGCGCGTGATGAGCTTGCACACCTCTTCGATCGCAATCACGGGCGCCGAGATCCAGACGACCGCCTTGACCTCGTCGACATTGAGCCTGGTCACCTGGAACCAGTCCTGGAGGAAAGGCACGGTGCAGATGGCATAGTGCAGCCCGAGCGACAACGCAATGGCGCCGATGAGCAACGGATTCTTCCAGGGTCCAAAGGTGAGCAGCGAGTCGGTCTCGCTGATGGCATTGAGCGCATTGAACATCTCGACCACCACGAGCACCGACAGCGCAATCGTCGCCGGCTGCCTATACGCCGTGAAAATCCCGCAGTCGACGCCCTCGAAGAGCCCGCCCTTGGCCTGGGCGGCGGGCAGCGCACACTGGTGGAAATGCGACAGCTGCGCATACGAGATCTGCGGCCCACCCGTGTAGAGCACAAACCACCACGCGTAGCCAAAGATGGTCGCCGCACCCACAAACGCTCCCACCAGCAGGTAGCGCGTAAAGATCCAGCCCGAGATGAGCGGGTCGTTGCGCGAGCGCGGCTTCTCGCGCATGATGCTCGTCGCGGGCGGATTGAAGCCCAGCGCGGTCGCCGGCAGACCATCCGTCACAAGGTTGACCCACAGCAGCTGCACAGGGATCAGCGCCTCAGGCAGTCCCAGCACCACCGTCAGGAAGATCGACACCACCTCGCCAATGTTGCTCGAGATCAGATAGCGGATGAAGCTCTGCATGTTGTTGAAGATCGCTCGGCCCTCCTGCACGGCCGCCTCGATGGTGGCAAAGTTGTCGTCGGCCAGCACCATGTCCGCCGCCAGCTTGGCCACGTCGGTGCCGGAACCCATGGCGATACCAATGTCGGCCTTCTTGAGCGCGGGCGCGTCGTTGACGCCGTCGCCGGTCATGGCGACCACGAGGCCCTGGCTCTGGAGCAAGTCGACGAGCTGCGACTTGTGCGAGGGCTCGACGCGCGAGAAGAGGCTGGGGCGCGACACGGCGGCGAGCCTGTCGTCGCGCGTGGCGAGCGCGTCGAATTCGCGGCCGGTGAACGACTTGCCGTCGAGCGGCTCGGTGGCGTCAAAGACGCCGATCTGGCGGCAGATGGTCTCGGCGGTGTTCTTATTGTCTCCGGTGATGACGATGACGCGGATGCCGGCCTGGCGGCAGCGCTGGATGGCGGTGCGCACCTCGGGACGCGGCGGGTCGAGCATGCCGACGAGGCCGACGAGCGTCATATTTTGCTCAAACTGCACGTACTCGGCGGGGCTGCTGCTGCGGTACGACTCGACGTCCAGCGGCACGTCCTCCTTGACGGCGAGGGCGAGCGTGCGCAGGCCGAGGCGGCCGTACTCGAGCACCTTGTCGCCGATCTGGGAGCGGAGGCCGGCGTCGAGCGGCTGCGCCTTTTTGCCGATCAGCACCGAGTCGCAGCGCTCGACGACGCTCTCGGGCGCGCCCTTGACGAGCAGGCAGCCGGTGGCGGAGGAGCGCTGGATGAGCGTCGACATGCTCTTGCGGTCGCGGCTGAACTCGAAAGTGAGCAGACGCGGGTGCGCCTTGCCGTACTCGTTGGTGATGGTGCCGGCGCGTGCGTGCGCATCGAGCTTGGCGACGCTGGCGTTGACGGCGGCGTCGTGGTGGCCGAGCTTCTCGACAAGCACCTTGAGAGCGGCCTCGGTGGGCTGGCCGACGATGGTGTAGTTGGCGTGGTCATCGAGATGTACGTGCGAGTCGTTGCAGATGGACGACACTTCGGCGAGGGCGTGGAAGGCGGTGCGGGCTTGGTTGAGGCCGGTGACGATCTTGCCGTCGGCGTCCGAGATGTCGCCGACGGGGGCAAAGGTGCTGCCGGAGACCGAGTAGTCTGCGAGGGAGCCGGAGGGGCTGACGACGGAGAAGTGGGTGACGCTCATCTGGTTGGTGGTGAGGGTGCCGGTCTTGTCGGAGCAGATGACGTTGGTGGAGCCGAGGGTCTCTACGGAAGGGAGGTGGCGTACGATGGCGTTCTTCTTTGCCATCTTTTTGGTGCCGAGGGCGAGGCAGGCGGTGATGACGGCGGCGAGGCCCTCGGGGATGGCGGCGACGGCGAGGGCGACGGCGATCTTGAAGTAGTACATGGCGCCGCGCACCCAGCCGTGGTGGGAGGGGTCGTTGAAGTGGCGGAAGTTGACGATCCAGACGAGGATGCAGATGACGGTGATGACCTTGGCGAGGAGTTCGCCAAAGTCGTCGAGCTTCTGCTTGAGCGGCGTCTTTTCGTCGTCGTCCTTGGAGATTTCGGCGTGGATGTCGCCGATGGCGGTGCGTGTGCCGGTGAGTGCGACGACGGCGAGGGCGGTGCCGTTGGCGACGGTGGTGCCGGAGAAGAGGATGTTGGTCTGGTCCTGCTTGACGGCGTTGGGGTCGTGGACGGGGTCGAGCGACTTGTTGACCGAGATGGACTCGCCGGTGAGGATGGCCTGGTCTACGCGGAAGGAGGAGGAGTTGATGGCGATGAGGCGGCAGTCTGCGGGGATCTTGTCGCCCACGGTGAGGATGAGGATGTCGCCGGGGACGAGGAGCTCGGAGCGCACCTTGTCGGTGTCGGCGTTGCGGATGACGGTGGCGGTGTCGGGGCTGTACTCCTTGAGGGCGTCGATGGCCTTGTCGGCGTTGCGCTCCTGGACGACGCCTACGGTTGCGTTTGCGATGAGGATGAGGACGATGACGCCGGGCTCGATCAGGGCGGCGCCGAGCGTGGTGTCCTCCTCGAGCAGGGCGAGGACGAACGAGATGACGGCGGAGGCGAGGAGGATGAGCACCAGCTGGTCCTTGAACTGCTCGAGGATGAGCTCCCACAGCGGCGTCGGCGGCTGTTCGGGCAGCGTGTTGTCGCCGTACTTTGCGCGGCGCTGTTCGACCTCATCGTCCGAAAGACCCTTGGAGGGGTCGACGTTGAGGATCGTGAGCGCCTCGTGGACGGACTTTGTCCATGCGGCGTCCATGGTGGGCAGCTCGCGTTTGCACTTTCTAGCGGAGGAAAGGGCAGGACAAGCGACGTTGAACGGGAACGAAAGGAGGAGAGGGTGGAGGCAGGAGGAGGAGGAACAAGAAGAAGAAGCGCACGAAGAAGAGCGGCAAAGAGAGAGCCGTTCGACTTTTGGGCGGTGCCTACGTGGAGCTCCAACTGCAGAGGTGGAGAGAGGCAGAAGGCGAGAGAGCGTGGCCGAGCCAGCCAACAAATGGCCGTCCGTCGGCTTTGCCGAGTGGGGATTCGCTCTTCTTGGAGCGCTACGTGTCACTTTTTCCCCTCGCCCTCATTTTCTCGCTCTCTCCGGTTGCTTCGGCCTCGTCCCGCTGCAGTGCAGCAACTTGCTCACACGCTCCGAATGCATATTTGCTTTGCTCTTCGTCGAAGTGGAGACGGCATCCTTCCGAGCGTCTCTTGCGCTGAGTGCGACGAGTGAAGCAAGCAGTCCCTCTGGTCAAGCTCGCCAGCAATCGCGGCTTCTTCGCCGTGATCGACACGTGGAGGCTCTGCATCTCTGCACGGGCGCCGCGCGCTTTGACTTTGAACCTGACATCTCCCCGATCCCGATGCTCCTATCTGCAGCCTAACATTGCTTCTCTGAAAAAAATGGACAGCGCCGGCTGAGGAAGAATTTGGACATTCGGCTCCGGTCACGATCTTCTCATCCACCACCTCATCCGCACTTTTCGACATGTTTGGAGCGTTTCGACCTTCGATGCCTTCGCTGGGCGGGTTGCTGTGGAAGAATCCGTGGCGTCTGTCGTCTCCGCGCAAGAACCGCGTTCGCATGCGTCTGCGTGCCGTCGACGATGTCATTGCAACCCTGCAACAGTCCAACATCCAGTGCGCTTCCCTCAACAGAGCCCTCGCAATCCCAACCGAATCCCAGATGCTTCCCAAGGACAAATACACAACCTTCAGCAAACACGACCGAGGCTTCAGAAAGAGCGTACACAAGGTCCCCAAATGGACCCGCAAAACGATCCGCGAAAACCCAGTCGGTTACTAAAAAACCTCCAACACTTCCTCACATCATCTCTCTCGACTGCATCTATCCTCGACCTCCTTGTACACTAGACCAGCTTTGCCACCCAGCAAACAACGTATTGCAAACCACAAGCTCTCGCACATCGCTCGATAATACTGCAAAACACATACATTGATACGCGCAAGCGAGGGGTATACGGCGCAGCACCGCCTGATGGCACGCGCGCTAGTGGCTGCAGTACTGGAACACAAAGCTCACCTCGTCGTACGCCTGCTCGGCACGCAGCAGATCGTCGTGCAGGTGGTGCATCTCCGCCTTGCCGTAGTGGTTCCACGTGCTCGTGTCGCCGTACAGCAGCGCAGGCGCCTTGATAAACTGCTTGCCCGACTTGCACCGCTTGCACTTGTACGTGTCGTGCGTGTCGCACACCGTCTGCTCCTTGAACGCAAACAGCGCCCGCAGATCCTCGCCCGAAAAGTGGCGTGCCGCATCCTGCGCCTCGTCCACCACGCACGACGACAGCGACTGCTTGTGCGACTGCCGCTGCAGGATCTTCTCCTCGATTGACCCCGTCGCGATGAACCGGTACACAAAGCACGACTTCTTCTGCCCGTCGCGCCACACGCGCGCCAGCGCCTGCTGGTCCGACGCCGGATTCCAGTCCGGGTCAAACAGCACCAGCCGATTCGCCCCAATCAGATTGAGCCCGCATCCGCCCGCCTTGGACGAGAGCAAAAAGATGAACTCCTTGCCCTCCGGATCGTTGAACCGGTCCACCAGCTTCTGTCGCTTGTTGATCGTCATGGTGCCGTCCAGCCGGAACATGCCCCACCGGTTGGCGCGGCACATGCGCTCAAACACGTCGAGCGTCTGCGTATAGTTGGAGATGAGCACAATCTTGTCGTTCGTCGTCGCACGGATCGTCTCGAGGAAGCGCTGCAGCACCATCATCTTGCCCGACAGCTCCGGGTTCACGTAACGTCGGTCGCGCGGCGTGTAGCCCTCGGGGAAGTACTGTTCGCTCCCGTCCAGGTCGCTCGGCAGATCCAGCAGATCCGGATGGTTGCACAGCTTCTTCAGGATGCCGATCGCCTTGAGCGGCTGGCTGCCCGTGCCGCGCAGCAGCTTCTTGATCTCGGGCGATCGGATGAAGAGGCGGTACAGATCCAGCTGGAACGGCGCCATCTTGCAGAACACCACGTGCTCGTACTTGACCGGCAGGTACTTGGACAGCAGGTCGTTGGTGCGTCGGATGATGAAGCGGCTCACCAGCGCCGACAGCTGGCTCAACTTCTCGTTGGCCTCCTGCTGCTGCTTCTCCGTCGCCTCGGCATCGCGACCCTTGAGAATGGCGATCTCAAAGTTCTTGCGAAATTCGACGCGGCTGCCCAGCAGCTCCGGGTTGGCAAAGTTGAGCAGCGCAAAGTACTCGGAGAGGTCGTTCTGGATGGGCGTGCCCGAGAGGATGACGCGACGGCGCACCTTGATCTGCGTGAGCGCCTGGAAGGTGAGCGAGTCGGCGNCTCGGAGAGGTCGTTCTGGATGGGCGTGCCCGAGAGGATGACGCGACGGCGCACCTTGATCTGCGTGAGCGCCTGGAAGGTGAGCGAGTCGGCGTTCTTGAGCCGATGGCCTTCGTCGCAGAGCAGCAGTCCCACCTCGGTGTTGCCGAGCTCTTCCTGCAAGTTGCGCAGAGTCTCGTAGGAGACGATCATCACCGGCTGCGTGATGGCGCGGCCCGAGGCGTTGCACCACCGACGCGTCGCTTCGATCATCTCGTCCTTGCTGAGCTTGCCGTCGAGCGCGAGCGTGCCCGGTGCCTTTGCCCCGAGCCACTTGGTCAGCTCGTTGGCCCAGTTGCGCACCAGCGACGACGGGCAGACGATGATGCACTTGTCGATCGTCGACTTTTTCGCGATGGGCGACTGCTTGAGCAAGGTCCACATGAGCGCGATGCACTGCAGCGTCTTGCCGAGGCCCATTTCGTCGGCCATGATGCAGCCGTATGCATTCTCGACCACGAGGCCGGTGGTGCATCGGTAGAGGAACTTGACACCTTCCACCTGATGCGGACGCAGCACCTTGCTGAGGATGGGGTCGATCACAACCGGGATCTTTTCTACCTCTTTGGACTTTGCCTTGTTGAGGCCGAGGATGTCGGCGAGGCTCTTGTGAGGCGTCGGGATGGGTGCACCTGCTTCGATGCGTTCCTCTTCGGCAGCCTGCTCCTGTTGAAGTTCGGCCTTTCTGCGTTCAGCTTCACGGTCGTCGACGGTGGGGTCGAAGAGCACGATGGCGTGTTCGCCCATGGGATCGTGCAGGGGGCGCGGTGGAATGTCGATCTGTCTTCTTGTGCCTAGCGCAGCGTGGGAGAGGACAGTTTCGACCACTTGACCCTGCTTGTTGGTCATGAGGGGCACCGAGAAGCCCTTCTTGATAGCGTTTGGCTTGACCTCAAAGACATCCCACTTGCGACGGTCGACGTTGAGTGACACGCCGTTGGCGTCGATGCCCTTGTAGACGCCCTCGAGCGTCTTCATGGCCGCCTTGCCCTTCTTCTTTGCGCCGGCTCGAGCGCCTTTGGCAGCGCCATCGTCGTCCGAGTCCGAGCCTTGAGCTGCGGCGCCATCGTCGGTCGCGCCGGCGTCCATGCCTGCGTAGTCGACCTTTTTCCTCTTTCTGCCACCTTCCGGACTGTCCTTTTCGCGTTGGTTGGCGAACGAAGGCGGCTTGAACGGCTTGCGTCCCAACAGCGGCCCGAATCCAGCCGCATTGGCGTTGCGAGTGATGTCGGCCAGCGGCTGGCGGGAGAGTGGCGAGCTCTTGGCGGCGGTCACCTTGCCGGCGCCCTTGTCAGCCTCGCCCGTGGCTGGCGAGGGCGAACCTCCCAGTGCCGCGAGGATGACGCTTCTACGCATCCTTACTCGCAGGCCCGAGTGCGCAGCCTCGTCGCTCGCTCCTCAAAGCTCTTCGAAAGGGCGATGTATGCAGGCGTATGCACGCGTCCGCGCTCAATTGCTAGCGCAAACGGCAGTCGCGTCGCGCTGCGGTGATGTTGACCGTCGCTGCGGCGGTGCTGGATGAGTGGCGACGCGATGAAGCAGGTCAAGACTGGTGGGAATAAGTGGTGAAGATGGTGGTGAGGAAGACGAGAGCAGTCGGCCTCGGAATGCTGGCTGAGCGCTGAGAGCTGCGCTTCGGCTTGGCCGTGAATCGCTGCAGCCAGGTCGGATTCGCCACGCCACCGCGCGTAGCAGCCGACCCAAAGCCTCGCCTCGCCACGCAGCTCAGCCGCGCTGGAAAGGGGCCGCCCGAAATTCGTGACTGGTGCTGAGCGTGATTGGGAAAGTGACACTTTTTCTCAGCCTCAATTAATCTCGGGGCTTCGCGCCGTCGCGTAAAGTCACGCGACGATTCTCGCCCTCCACTCGAGCACACTCTCGACTCAGCTCGCTCGCTCCATCTCCACGCTCAAACTTCTGAAGGCCCGTCTGCACACACTACGGATCGCAGGATTGACTCGATGATAGAAGCGGCAGCGACTGCGATGGCCATGCTTTTCATTGAATGATCATTCGTGCTGCGGTCGCTGGTGCTGTGGCGGCTGCATCGGCGGCTGCGAATTCTGCGGTGGCGCTTTGGGCGGCGGAGGACCACCGGCAGCCGCGGGCTTGGGCTTGGTGAAGCTGCCCATCCTCGCCGAAAGCTGCTGCGCCTGGGCGGCGTTGGCCTGCGCCTGGACCCTCGCCTGCTGAAGGTAGGCCAGCTCCATGTCCGGGCGCGGCTGGCTCCTTCCGCCGCTGATGTAGCCGTCCTCGTGGCGCACCAGCGGGCTGCCATACATCCTCCATTCGCTGCCCGTCCCTCCGGCACCATCGGGCCAGAATCGGCCACGGCCAGCAAAGGCCAGCGCCGTCTCGTAGAACCACTCGCTCTTCTTGAGGTAGTGCACCACGACCGTGCCCCCGAACCGACGCCCGAGGTAGCGGCGTCGACGAAGCTCCTCCGCCTCGCCGTTGCCGTCCTTGTGCGTAGGCAGCGGGATCATGCGTGGCTGCATGGCCGAGCTGGCAAAGGAGCGCTTGCGATCTTCCGCTGCGCTGCGAGACACGCCACCCGCGCCAAAGTCGAAGCCGGGCACCGATGGCAGATGCGCCAAGAACGGAATGTCGCGCTTGCGCCGTTGCGCGTGCACCGCATCGTCGTCGGCTTGGGCGAATGCGGAAGACGCCTGGCGGTTGGCAGCGTGGATGTGTCGAACCGTGAGACCGGTGGCGGGATCGATGCCGACCTCTTCAGCCAGTGTTGGATGCGCACCCAGATTGTCCAGGATGGGCGGCCGGAGCCGCTCGTCGTTGGCTTCAAACACGATCTGCTGCCACGGCACCCAGATCTGCGTGTCGTTGCCCTCTTCGCCACGAACCCACGAGCCCGACCAGCGTCCGCCGCCCTCGACGAGCGCCTCGACCTCCTCCTCGATGGTCAGGTCGCCCCGCGGCTCGACGTACGGCGAATGCCAGCGCGACACGGTCGAGTACGACTTGGCGCGATGCTCGCCCCCTCTGCGCGCAATCTCCTGATCCGTGAGCCCGCGTCTGCCCTCGAGCTTGATCTTCTCGACGTAGTCCGGGAAGAGGAAGCCGTGCGAATAGGCGGTGCCCGCCTTGGGATGGTCGTAGATCCAGCAGTGCTCCGAGACCCAGTGGATCGAGGATCGATTCGGATGCAGGTTGATCCACTGCGCCACCTTCTTGTCCTCCTTTCCCTTGATGTAGTGCAGCACGTTTTCCGACTTGGCCACGTACTGCACCAGATCGTTCGAAAGCGCATAGCACTCGCCGCCCATGAACCAGTTGCGGATGAGGTAGCCCCAGTAAGTCATCTGGCGCGGCGCCACTCGCAGGTGGCGCTCGAGCTCCTCGAGGATCAAGAAGGCGTCGTCGTCGGCCTTGACGACGTAGTCGGCCTTCTTCCAGAGCACCTGGTATCGATGCATCTGCTCCGTAGAGCCTCCGAGCACCTCGCGCGTCTGTCCATGCCCCTGGCCTCGCGACTCTGGCTCGCTCAGCAGCACCGAGCCCTGCGCCAAGCCCGAAGCCGGATTCTGGCCATCCTCGACAGCGCGCAGGAAGGGCACCGTGGCGTTTTCGGCGGCCCATCGGAAGAAGGCGTGGGTCTTGCCGCGGTTCATGTTTTCCTCCATGTCGAGCACCACAATGTCGTTGAAGGTCTCCATCTCGAGCGCCACACGTCTTGCGTGCGTCTGGCGCGGCTTGCCGATGATGAACTTGACCTGGACGTTGCTGGTGGGCGTGCCCGTGTGTGGATCGAGCGGCATGGTGTGTGTGGCGTAGGTGCTGCGGATGAGGTGGCGTCGCTCGTAGGCGCTGTCGATGCTGAACACGCCCACAAAGACGTCGACGGGTGCGAGGGCGTCTGCATAAGCGTGCGGAAAGGCGGGCTGCTGCTGGCAGTAGGTGCGCCAGGGCAGGGGCTCCTTGTCTGGATTGAGGATGTAGATGATGAGTTTGGTGACCGAGGCGACGAAGCTGGCGATGAGTACGAGCGCGAGGATGATGGTGACGGGATGGATGGGTCCGAAAGCGGTGCGGAAGAGCTTGGAGAAGAAGCTTAGAATCATGCGGAGCGGATGCGTCCATATGGAGGGAGTTCTGCGTGGGCGTGTGCGGTCCTTGGACGAGGGGTGCGTCGAGGAAGAGAAGAGGGTCTTGTCCGTCTTGGAGTTGCGATTCCACTTGGACTTTTTGAGGCTGCGGGAGCGAGTGGCGGTCAAGGGGGTATAAGAGGAGGCGGATCGGCTCCAGAACGGCTCGCCGCGGAGGCTCTTTGTGATGGAGCTAAAGACGGAAGTGGCGGCTGGACCTGCGCCGCTGCCGCGTCGATTGCGCCGCAGCTTGGACGTGTCGTCGTACTCGGAGACGTCGGATTCGGTCATGTCGGCGATCTGTTGATCGGTGAGGTTGACGCCGACGAGGGGCGGCGCCACGCGGGATGTGGAGGCGATGGGGGTGAGGTCGCCATCGTTGGAGGATGTGTAGCCGATCGCCTTGGTGTGCAGGCGGGGTATTCTTGCATGAGGGCCGTTGCGTTCGTGTTGCGGATAGCTCGACTGCGAGTCTGAATCGTTGACGGCGTAAGGCGCCGAACGCAGGTGCGAACCCGAAGGCTCTGGCCAGTACTTTGTTGCGGACGAAGCGTGTGGGTTGGCGGATTGGGCGAGTGTGTCGGCAGGATGCGCACCGAACGAGTCCATCGAGGAGGACAAGCCGTTGACGGACGCGTCGAGCGAAGCGCGATCGAGCTCGCTGGAGGAGCTGAGATCGAGGGCGAGCGTGGCATCGGAGCCTGAGCTGGGGTGTAGCCGCCCCGAGGTGGTGTCGGCCTCACGTGAAAAGTGGATGCGTGGTGGCTCGTTGGATGGGGTGCGGGTGAATGGATGGCGCTGGATGGCCGTCGGACTGGCAGGGCTCCTTGGCTCGCGATTGGGCGCGGATGTCGATGCTTGACCCTGTCGCTGCGGCGAGCCGCGGTCGATGGACATGATGTCTTGCGAAAGAGAAGGAGCTGATGCAAGCCAGAAGTTTCGGCGGGCGTCGAGGTAACTAGATGTGGAGAAGCAGTGCCATTGAACCGACCGAGTCGAGAGAAGCTCGAGGAGCAGGAGTAGCTCAACGTAGAGATACGAATGCTAACAAGCTCGAACAGACGTGGAGGGTAAAGAAGACCTGAGCAGAAGAGAGTCAGCAGCCGAGAAGGCTGATGGTCGGAGGCAGCAGGTGCCGGGAGGGGAAACGTGTAGGAGAGCGTAGGAGGGCGGCGGGGGCGGTGATGGTGGTGATGGCTAGCGGATGATATGGATGGGGTCCAGCCTACTGCTGAGGATGAGTGTGGGTGTGAGTGGGTGCTGACTTCTCCTCCTCCTGAGTCGACAAAAGTGTGTGGCGCCGTCGCGCAAAGTGAAGCGCACACCCCACCGAGCGCTGTCCGTGCAGAGTGCAGTTGCAGTGGAGTGCGGTGCGGTGCGATGCGGCGCGATGCGGCGCGAGAGCAGTGAAATAATGACGGCGTGGGTGCGGTGTGCGTGGAGCGTTTGGGCGACACGCCTTCTCCATGCGGCCGTCCGTCGGTTCCTGACAACCAGACGAACCCAGCCAGCGGCGTAACACTCAAAAGTCTTTTGAAAAAAGTCTAACAGCTTGACTCTTTCTTGAGTTTGTTAGACTGTCAAATAAGAAACGGGCTGCAGCCTGCGCGACCATCTGTCAGATATGGCGGCTGCCGACATGCCTGTATATTTACTGCACTGCGAATGGCGATGGCTGCAAGACGGCCGCTTAGCAGATCTCGACGGCAGAGCTGCAGAACAGGTAGCAAGTCCATTGAGGCCGCACGAGCACTGCACGAGCTGCGCAATGATTCAGTCGGCACGCGGGCGCCTGCCGGCTGCGCAAAACCAACGACGGGCACCAAGGCGGAAAAATGATATGGCTCAAACCACGCGCTCAGCAGCCAACCCTCTTACCTCCTCCTCGTCCGTCTCCTACGCGCTCCTCCAGAGATCTCGAAGCCTCGACTCCCCCCTGGACGCCGTGTAAGCCACACACAAATGCAGCTCTCGGGCACGGCACTGCACCCGCCCAATCAGACGATGCTCACGGCTCTGCCACGGCCCCGATGGTGTGAGCCGCGCCGCGCTTGGCCGCTGAGACATGCGCTTGCTGTACCTGTCTCGCTCTGCTCAACGCCTTGCACGTCCTCTCATAGGCTGTCTGCGTCATGCTGCCGCCTGTGTTGATGCCCCTAGATGTTGGTCTCACCACGCCCAGCCATGTGTGCACTACCCACCGCTGGCTGTTCCGAGACCGGAGGTGCAAAGCCAATGCCAGCTCTCAAATCCTGCTTCCGTGCTGCACCCCTCGGTGTTGATCGAGGTGCTGCTGTGCACACACTGGCGAGTCCTGAACATCTCGCTCTCCGCCAGACTGTTCGAGGCCCTCAAAGTGTGCCCTTCCCCACACGCCTGACACTCTTTTGACATCAAGCCAGCATCATCATCAACTCCCCTTCTCGACAGTCGACGCCTTTCCATTTCACACAACCACGACTATCAGCACTTCCAGGCATTGGCGATCCAACGCCGGGTCTACTATCTCTCTTCACTCTTCATCGTCCCCGTCAGCTTAGCACCAGCCTGCCACTGGGAGCTGCAGCCATGTCGGGGCTCGGCATCGACTTTGGCCATGAGTCCGAGGCTTACTCCACCGACACCGGCTCACGTACTTCGGCAGCGACCACTTCCACTTCAGGCTTCCACAGCCGCACACGAGCACACATGATCCCCAAAAAGTCCTCGATGAACAAGATGCGAGGTGCAAGGCCCAAGACAGCCGAGGAGGATGCACGTCGCGTCCGCATCGTCTCTGGCGAGCCCGACATCCTTGGCCACGGCGCCTACACCGACGAGGACTTCATGTCGCCGCCTGCCCACCACGACGTCGTTGTGCAGCCTCACAGCCTCCACAGCCTCAGCGCAGCGGTGGCTGCCATGGGCGGATACTCGACCGACACAGCCACCAGCAGCACAGAGACCGACAGCGACACCAGCCCCACCCTCACCGAATCCTCCGTCACCAGCACCTCCTCGGGTGCAAGCAGCGCCAACCAGCTCAACGTTCGCAGGAAGCATCTCAGCCAGCCGCCGCCGGGTGTCCACAGACACGATGATGAGCGTGGCATCAGGATCATGGGCGCAGCGCAAGGTGCTAGCACGGCACAGCAGCAGCCCATGCCGGTGGTGCAGCGACCGGTGCGAGAAAGCAAGAGCAACACCAGCCTCGCATCCGGATACCGCTCCGACGGCGGCTCGAGCCTCGGCAGAACCGCCGAAATCCCTCGTGGTGTTGGCCGCAATGGAGGAAGAGGCGGACATAGGGCCAGCATCAGAAGCGCTGCTAGTCGCCAGGGCACCCTTCAGAACCGCCTCGGCCCCAAAGTCGGCGCCAACACTGCCATCGAGGATGCCGATCAGACCATCCGCGCAGAGGTGCCGTCGGACGACGAGACCGAAGTAATGGTGCCCGATGGCTTCGGCGGCCACACCCGCACCAAGCAGCCCAGGAACCCTCGCCCTCAAACTGCAAATGCAGCCGTGCCCTCCCTCCTGCATAGGATCGATATGTCCTCGGACCACGCTCCCTCACCAAACGGACAGTCCCGTGCAGAGCAGTACGAAGTCGAATCGTCCACGAGGTGGAAGGTCGGCAGCTTCTACGCTCCAGACGGCTCCGAGACAGCACGCATAGATCACGAAACTGGGACCATTAGCGAGAAGGGAACGCAACTCGAGCCCTCCGAGGTGGCTCTCTCTCGGGCACAGTCGCGCGGTGGATCCGAATCTTCAGCCACCTCCCTCACACGCTCGCACACCTCCAGTATCGGGCCCAAGGCATCGCTCATGCAGAGTCCTAGCGCCCAGAATGCAGCTCGAAGCCAGGAAGATGCGACTGAGCCCAGCACAGAGGACGGCCCCGTCGAAGGCTCCACCAAGGCGGCTGCTATGCTGCAGAACAAGCAGTCGAGGACGTCTCTCGCCAGCGTCGCCATGAGGAGCAAGCGAGGTCTCCAGGGGCTCGAGGAGGCCGAGCGAGGTGGTGCTCTGGTGAGCCTCGACAACTATCGCATGACCTACGACACTGGTCTTCCCATCCTGCCCCACGAGATCCATGCTCTGGACCAGGACAGCATCATGGGCTCCGTCCGCCTCGGTCAAGCTCCACCCATGAAGACGTCTCTCAGCCACAGCGGTGCCCCGCCCACAGCCACTGCTTCTTCCGCAAGCAATGCGAGCGAGACCGACCATGCAGCTTCTAGCGCATCGAGCAAGCCTCGCAACCGACCTCGTAGGAGCCTGTCCGAGACCAACGTCAACACAGCGCTTCTGGAAAGACACGGGACGCTGCTCAGCAACACGGCCAACCCCATGCGCAGGAGCAAAGAGCTCAACCGGCTGTTGGGCAACTCGGATCGCAAACTCCCATCGTCAGCGGCTCGACCCATGCACCTCGAGTCTCCCACCAAGAGCGGCCTCAAGCGCAGCAATGCGATGCCAGCCACCGTCGTCCCGCCGCCAGCGGCGCTCGAGCAGGGCAAGGCGAACAAGGCGCGCGTCGAGGTTGACCTTGTCCTTGAGTCGGACCTCGTCGTCGAGGGCGGCACGCTGCAGGGTCGCATGCAGATCCGCGTGCGCAAGGGTTCCGACAAGGAAGGCGGCGTCTTGCTCGCCCAGCCCAAGATCCGCGTCGTCGGCTTCGAAGAACTGCTCAGCGACGACACTCGCTACATCTTCTACCACCATGCCTCCGTCATCGATGGCGATCGCTCCAACAACGGCCCGAGCGAGCCGTACTACCTGGACGGCTCGCCCACGCTCTCGTCGCCTGAGACCGCTCCCTTCTCGGCGCTCTCGTGCTTCTCGGGATCTCCAGACGCAGAGGGCTACGCAGAGGGCAAGGTCGGCTCGCACTCGATCCCGTTCTCGCTCGAGCTGCCCGTGTCCAAGGGCGCCAAGGGAAGCTACAGGGGCAAGAACGCCGTCGTGCGCTACATCGTCATCGGCTCCGTCAAGCTCAAGTCGGCTTCGGGCGCTAACCGCTCGATCGCCCACTTCTACCGACACGTCGACCTCTTCCCCTACCTCAACCCTGCCGTGGTGCTGTCGAGCGCAAACAAGCCGATCCAGGCGAGCAGCTCCAAGGGTCTCTTCCTCGGCGGATCGGGCAAGGTGCACCTCATGGCGAGCTTGCATCGCAATACGTGGGTTGCGGGTCAGCGCGTGTACATCCACATTGGCATTCAGAACGACACGTCCAAAAAGATCAACGGCATGACGCTCGCGCTCATCCGTACCGTCACGCTGTACAAGCCGCGCCCCGAGCTCGATCTGGACGGACAGGCCGCCCGGCGCGATCTGGATCCCGATGCATGCCAGACATCGACCACGCGCAAAAAGATCGCCGAGGAAGAGCTCGAGATGGGCCAGAAGGGCAGCAGGGGTGTCGTCACTGCTCGCGGGTGGTGGACGGGAGTAGAGCCGGGTCAGCGCGTCGAGTCGTCGCACTACATGCACATCCCTGCCGATGCACTGTCCATCTCGCGCGGCCGCCATGTCGAGGTCGTCTACAGCATCAAGGTCTCGATTGGAAGCTCGCTCTCGGCCGACGTCTCGGTCGAGCTGCCCCTGCGCGTGATCAACTTTGTATCGCTCGACCCGCCGCCGAGCAAGAAGGCAGGCGCTGCCAAGTTCAGCGTCGATTCGGCGCGAAGCTGGGTCTCGCCGGGTAGCAGTGCGGGCGATGTGAGGTCTCCAGGAAGCTCGAGCGGAAGGAGCACTCGCGATGGTGCCGAGGATATGGTCGCCAGACTCAAGTCGGTCGACGCGATGCGGTCGCCAGGCAAGACCGAGATCTCGCTGGCGAATTACGATCAGCATCTGCAGGTGGCGCGCATGCTCTCCCCCGGCGAAGTGGCAGCCGAGCAGAAGAAGCTTCTGCAGCACCAGAAGTCGCTCGACTTTATCAACCACGCCATCCGCAGCGCGGCCGCACGACGTGGAGTCGATGTCACGCCGACCACTAGCTCGTCCGCCCGGACCCCCAGTCCGGCTGGTCTGGGCATCGGTGTGCTTGACAGCAGTTCCGCCTCGAGCGCGCGAAGTCGCGACAGTCCCGGTGGAAGCAGCAGTACCGATGGCGTCTCGGGTGCCGACGAGGACTACGAGGAAGACAACACCAAGACGCCGATGGCCTCAGTCAACCGATCCGGAACCGCTCAGCCTATCTATCCGCCCGGCTGCGAGCCGTACGAGCCGCATCACCATCGTGCACACCAGGCGCAGTATGGCGGGGCCTACTCGCAGCTTCCTGTCACATTGCACCTTCCTGGAGGCATGCACCACATGCAGCAGATGCAGATGCAGATGTACCAGATGGCTCCACCTCCGCACGCAGGGGTCATGCTACCTGTGCTGCGCATCAACAACGCCAATGCCGTCTCGCTCGACGAGATCGGTGACGATTACGATGACGATGTCCAGGACGCACGTGTGGACCCGGACCAGACCCTGGGCCTCAACGACGAGTCGATGGCCGAGATGAACATGGTCATTGGCTCCGCCCGGCTGGACGACGAGGACCATGCGCAGTTTGACGACAGCATGCACGTCGACGATGCGGAGCACGACGAGAGGCAAGACATGCTCTTTGAGCGGGTGTCGCGCGCCGCAGACGCCGGCAACGAGGGTTGGTCGCTGCGCCGTCGCGATTCGGCCGATGACGAGCCCGAGGCGCACGATGCGGACGAGGCAGACGACGTCGCCGAGGTCTCGTCGATCATGCAAGCCGTCAGTCTGGAGCCGGCGGCTCCTCCGAGCTCCGAGGTGTCCGTTCCCGGAAGCATGGCACCCCCAACGGCCGCTGCGGTGACGACCTCGGTGTACGATGCATCGCAGGCTGCGGCGAGGAGGGCTGTGGCAAGCCCTCCTGTCCCAGTACGAGGACAGTCGCGCGCAACAGTGACGATCTCCCCGCGCACCAATGCGTATGCAGTGTCGAATGTGACCCGACCGCTCAAGATCAGCAAAGATAGCAGCGCGACCAGCTCGCTCCTGCCTCAGCAGACGATCCATGCCAAGGCATCGTCGGAACAGCTGGCCGAGAGGTCGGCCGGTGAAGTTGCTGCGCCGTCTCGCGACACGCAGACGTTGAGCGCTGCCAACCTAAAGCGCCACTCGGACAATCTGTCGTACCGACAGCAGCAACAACAGCCGACCCGGCACCGGGCCACGCACTCCGTCACGGGCCTCAAACCGCTCATCCTCAAGCCCAAGGCCACCAGTGACGGCCGCCGGGATCGCACGTCCTCGGCGGGTTCTCGAACGCCCGATGTTGCCTCGCCGAGGGAAGGTGCATTTGTATCCGGCACGGGTGTCGCCGAGAATGTGCGCACGCCAGACAGTCTCTCGAGCGAGCTTTCTCAGATCGCTCCGGCTCCAGCAACCGCTGCAAAGGCGATTGAAACCAAGCCGTCCCTGATGCACAAGGCCTCGGACGCATCCATCGCCTCGACTTCGAGTCCCGCTGCGCACTCGGCCGGCTTGCCGCGTTCGTCGACGCTTCAGTCGATGCCGATGCAGACGGAAGGTAGGATGTCGGTGCAGCGATCGGAAAGTATGTCTTCAGTCGTCGACGATGCGGGTGACGACCGAGCGCTGTCTCGCTCGCACTCGACACACAATCTGCGCGGAGCAGCGGTGCTTGTGCCCTCGGTGCGCAACAAGATCGCCATGCTCGAGAGCCGGAGTGCCGCGCTGCGCGAATTCACAGGTGCTGCCGCCGAGGCGTCGCCCGCCAGTTCGCCGCTGAAAAAGTCGACGTCGACATCCAACTTTGGCCTGAGCAGCTCGACGTCGACGGGTCGAGTGGCACAGCTGGCTGCTTCCGCAGAGAGGGCAGGTAGCCTGACGCCTTCCGCTTCCTCGCCGTTCAGGCTCGGAAGAAAGGGCAGCTTCGTCTCGGTCGCCGACTCGGAGGACGGCGCAGGCTCCATGGTCTCGTCGGTAGCGCCCGTGCCGGAGTACATGAAGACGGCCGCTAGCTCGGTGCCGAGCTTCAACGCTCCTGTCCTGCGCAACCTTCGCTAAGCTTGCACCGCACGGAGGAGTCGGGTATTGCGTACAAGACAAGGACACTAATTTAGACTCGAACGAGGAGTTTTGCACCTGTTCGCTCGCCAGATCTCAGGCGCGCGGATCGTGATCTATACACGATGATCTGGCCATTCCGCGCCGCCCCAGATCTTCCACCTTGGGCCCTCCGCTTCTCGATTTTCCGATCCCTAGCTTTCGCTTTCCATACTCTCAAAGTTCATGTACCCTTTTTCACGACGCATTCCATCGTTTCTTTCCGGCATCTGCGTGTGTATGTGTGAGAGGTGACGAGCATATGAGAAGAAGACGGGAGGCGGTGTCGAACTGCGCGACAGATCCAGACTCGCACGAGAGAGGAGAAACGGGTCTGAGCCGACAAGACATAGTGACGGTCAAGCTGAAGGGATGCAGTGCATTCTAGAAGCCAGCCAAGACACAGGCACGAGTGGCTGCAGCCAGACGCACTTGCCGATGTAGGAACCCCCATCGAGCGTGTGCTGTGCAGCGCCACTAGCGCATGAGCGAGCAGCAAGATTGCATCGCGGCTGCTGCGGCAACGTCCAAGCGAGCCTGTCCACTGCCCCGGCCTGCATCTCTCTCTCGTCCTTTGAACTCGCTCATCTGCGCTCGTCTCAACTTCGTCGAACTTCGTTTGACCAGACTCACAGCCGAGAAATCCTTTGGCTAGGGCAGAACATGTTTTTCCAGGCATCCGGCGAACTGGTTCGTGGCTGTGCGATGCAGGCGTAAAGCGGTGGAAGCCTAGACTGCGTGCCGCGACCCGTTGGTGCTAGTCGACGAGCGAGCGTCGAAACTTCTTGCGCGTTGTCACAAACCCCAATAGGAAGCGTCTGAACGAGCGCAGGCTCGACCGAAAACGCTTGGCAGCAACCGAGTTGGGTCGGTCAGGGTGTCCTGAGGAGGGCATCCCGGCGTCTTACAGGTCGAGGAGAAAAAGAAAGCTTTTCTACCCTGCATGGCCGGCGCCGCGTGGCAGATGCGCGCCAAACGGAAGAGGGAAAAAAAACCAGGGGTGTAAGCTGTGCTTCGGCGTAATGGATGACCGACCCGTCGAGCGGCTTTCGACCGCCGTGTTCTCGAACGGCTGTGTCGTAAGCGTTCCCGAGTAGCGTAGCTGTGTCAGTCGCCCTTGTCCTTACCCTTGCTTGCTTCGTCGACTGCGATCGCTGATGGAGCCGGTGCGAGCACGATTCACGGCGAATTAAAATTCGGCGAGGTGAGCCGAGCGGCGGTCGCCAAACAGCTGAAAACGTGGATTTGGCACTCCGAAAGCACTGGACCGCGTCGAACCAGCGGGGAGCCGCCGCTCTGGGCCGCCAAGCGTCGATTCGGCGGGCAGGTGTGCCTGGCTGGGGTCTTCGCCATGTGCTCTTGTGTCTCACAACTGACCGCTCGACGCTTTCCCCCCTTGATCAGTCGTGCTCTACCCCCTTGCACTTAGGACGGCTGCGCGAATGGGCCCGCGATGTCGGTGGCCAGCACCTCACGAAGCGCTTCAGACGATGACCCACTCACAGGAAAAAGGTGAAGAAGAGCCAACGGAGAATGCAATGCGCTCACGGCCGCTGCCGGCGATCGAAGCAGAAAAAAAGGCGGGGTGCTTGAACGCCGGCAGAAGCAAGCACGCAGCCAACGATGTGGGAGGAGAAAGCAGCCGCAATCGAGGCGCACGATTTGCCGCCATACGCCTAGGCCCGAGGCTAGCTCAAACTGCATTGGCCCTGATTCGTCCAAGAGCTCGGCTTGACCGAGCCGCGAGCGAAACGTTGACGATCGGTGCTCGCTCCCTTCAGCGAATGGAGGCCATTCTCAACGTACCGGGGGTATCGGAACATTGTTGTGTGGCAGACAATGGGTGCTCGCGCTCGTTGCAAATCGAGCAGCTCGACCGATCGAAGCCGCCCTGCAACCGACACCTACGCTCCGCCTGATCTTCGGGTGCTCTCTTCGATCTTCGAGTACGCTTGTGTCGTTAGTCGATTCGTTCCTTTGGCGATGCGAACACTGAATCCCGGCTGAACCTCCGAGCGATGTGATTGGGGCGTCGGTAGTAGTTGACTTCGGCCCCGTTGGCACAGGCCATGACAGGAGCCGGCCAGATGGGAAACCCACTGGCAAGAGCGACAATGGAACGAAAGGCAAAGCTTCAAGGCAGCGCCTCGCCGCGCCGTCGGGCTTTGGATGAGATGGTCCTCCAAAAAGGATCAGGTAGCGATGAGCCGCTCGAGCGTCCAAGCCGCACTGCCCCCGCCGGTCAACCGCGACATGGACTCGAGCGCTTCACCGCCCCTCGCAAGACCCCAGGCTGAAGTGCGATGGGTTCAACAGAGATCGAATGCCACTACCGACCGACGGAAGCTCGCCGGGCGTCTTCTCGGCGGTCATCCAAACAAGACTCGAAGTGCGCGTCTGAGCCGCAGACCGAGCCCCGACCGCGTGTATGACGAGGATGACGATGGCTCGGAGCCGTTGCGAAGCAGCCAAACCACGACGCCACGTCCCGGCCTTTCAGAGCAGGCGGAAGCTCCGCTCAACGACAATGAATCCCACTGTAACGTGGGAAAAAAAAGGCAAAATGGGGCCGTCCGTGCGGCGCCGTCCAGGGCAGCACTGCCCTTTGCCCCTGCGACCGACTCCTGCGCCCCGGCCAATGCGTCGTTGCATGGCAGCAGCAATCACAATCACAGTGGCTTGACGGCACGCCAGTCTGAACTCGCGCGGCCATCCGGATCTCATTCTGTAGTAAGCGCCCGGGCGAATCCTTCTCGCTTCCTATGCGATGCGACTTGCTCGTACGAATCGGGGCCTCTTTTGTGTCGAGCGAGCTCGCTTCGAGACGAGAGCGAGCCGGAGGTCGACCGTCCGCTTGCTCTACACACAGGTTGCTACGCCCCGCCTCAAGCCCGCCGATCGTGCCTTCGCTCCTGGCTCCTGAGCCGTAGGCTTCTGCCTCGATGGTGCAGGACAGCCATTGTCCGCAGCGAAAATGTGCCTGAATTCGAATTTCGATTACAGATCCGAGCGGCACAACGGCACAATTTGTAGTGCTGGACCCCTTGGGATTTCAAAAGTCAATGCGGATACCGCAGTCGAATGCTGCTCTGCCAGCCTTTCCAGCGCCTCAGCCAGTCCCACGGCTCGGAAGGCTCATTTGCGGCACATCCGTAGCAACCGGCCAAGTTCTGCGGGCTAAAATAGGGGACCACACAGCCTCCTAGCCTCCTGGCCTCCTGACCCCCGGGGGCATTGATCGCCGCCAATGTGGGGAGGCCTGGCTCGGGTCGGACGATGCGCTGAATCGTATGCAGACTGAATCGTATGCAGACTTGCTGCATCGATGCAGGCCTTTTCGCTATTTCAGGCAGGTCCGGCTTCACTGGGCCAACGAGAGAGGCGTTGGGCTGCGAATTCCAGCCCTAGTTTTACAGTCTTTTCGCGGAAAGACCAAGCGAGAGAGGGCATTCCGGTGCGTATGCAAGTCGAAGCAAGCGATGGACTTTGTCAACTTGTCGACTCGCATGGCATGGCCCCCCGTCCAGTGCCGTGTGCGCTCATGCGCCAGACGCACAAAGCTTTCTTGTCGGTCGACACGCTGGATGCTCAGGCGAGAGCCACTGCGGAAGCCAAGATGCCTCGACGGTCCATCCAGGCGAGAGAGGGCGACGCTGTCACTAAGCGGTGCAGAAAAAAGTTGCAGTCGGCGGTTCGAGGTGAAAGGCGGCCAGGGCCAGGCGGCAGGCTGAAAGTGGTCGTTGCAGCCAAGTGAGGGGTTGGATGGATGCAGGCGAGCTTGTTTGCGCCGCACTTCTGCAGTGGCCTCCTGCCTGCCCGCCTACTCTCTTTTTTTTTT